AACCCTAAACCCTTAACGCTTTCGCAGTCGGTGGATTTCAACCTCTACAATGCGGCGAATGCCATGAACACGTGGTCCAACTGCCCTTCTGCGCACCGCCTCTCGACCACTTCAGGAGACACCTTTGGTTTAGGGTTTAGAGTTTANNGTTTAGGGTTTAAGTTTGAAGGTTTTGGGTTTAAGGTTTTGGGTTTAGGGTTTAGGGTTTGGGGTTTTGGATTTAGGGTTGAGGTTTTTGTGGTTTAGGCTTTAGGGTTCAGGGTTGGGGGATGATCCAGGATATCCCATGGACCCTAAACCCTAAACCCACCGAGTTGCAGCTGATTAGGCTCCACAGCTCCGAAGCAGTGTATAGGTTAATGTAGGGGCCTGAACAATTAGAGTAGGGTTTTGGGGGTTCCCTATTATAATTTATAGTATCTAATGGGCCCCAAATAGCGTTTTTGTTGGCTCCTTACTATATTTATAGTGTAATGGGCCCAAAACCCTATTCGAATCATTCAGGCCCCCTATATTGCCCAGCGACAGGTTAAGCCCAGCACAAGCATCCCGAGCCTACCAACGAGGTAGGTTTTTTCTTTTTTAACATATGGGTCCCCATTATAATACGACACCCTTATAAAAGGGACTCCCAGACGGGCCCTGTTTTAGAAAACTACCCATATTGTAACAATCCTAAACCCTAAACCCTAAACCCCAAACCCTAAACCCTAACCCCCAAAGCCCCAAAACCCCAAATCTGGCTCCATGAGGGGGTCTCCTGCTGGCCCGGGCCGTCGACAAGATCGAGGGGCTGCCGCCGCTTCAGCTGCATTGAGGCTCAGTGGTTTAGGGGTGTAGGGTTTAGGGTTTAGGGTTTTTGGGGTTTGAGCGTGGTTGTTGTATTGTTGTAGGACCGGATCTAATTCAAGACTCCAGGGTTTAGGGTTTTGAGGGCTACGCTTAATAGGCGCTTGCGGTCGGTTCTTCTAGAATGCTTAGGGTTTAGGGTTCAGGGTTTAGGGTTTAGGGTTTAGGGTTTAGGGTAAGGTTTAGGGTTTGGGGTTTAGGGCGGGTAGGGCTTCGTTCAGGGTTTCGATTCTGCATCCGAGAAGGTCCTCTCGGCTTTCTGCGGGTCTGTGGAGGGTCAATACACGCATACATCTGGACATTAATATAATTTGAGCGAATATATATATATATATATACACACACACACACATCTGTATACATATATATATATATATATACGTATATATTTATTTATTATATATATATATACATATATATCGCATACACAAACCGCTATGTCCTGTAACACAAGCAAATGTCATCCCAAAGACTGAATCCCCAAAGCAAGCTTCAAATTCACCAAAGTACTCCTAAAGCCCCGAAGCAGATTGAATGACGCCCTTAGCCCTCAATCCCTAAGTCTCGGACATTTTCAGGTGGGTAATTACCGTTATAGGAGCCTTACAGAAGGTCTATATACCTGATAGAAGCCTTATTATAGAAGCCCTAAATACCCTAAACTCCCCACCTGTAGTGTCCTTTAACCCTAAACCCTCAACCCTAAACCCTAAACCCTAAACCCTATATACCCTAAACTCCCCACCTGTAGTGTCCTTTAACTAAGGTTCACGGAGGAAGGTCGGGATCTGGCCCGGAAGGTGGTGCTGAGCACGGAATACTTGGCCCGAGATTTCGTGCTGGGCGTGAACCTGTCAGGCGGGGTTTAGGATTTAGGGTTTAGGGGTTTAGGGTTTAGGGTTTAGGGGCAAGCCGTCTCCATACGTACCACTATCAGCAACTAGAATTAGTTCCTGGAATTAAAAGCTTGAAGCACGAACGCGTTAGGCCCCTCTTACAATCCCTATCACAAGCATACTATGACATACTTTGATATACACCGATATCCTTTTCCAGCCATGAGGTCTTGTATATCATTCAACCTCACTTTGTGCCCTTTCCGGAAGTTTCGCACCTTGACCAGGCTATCTGATGAGTGGAACCAGTTATGCGCCGTGGTTCCACATCGGCAAAGTCTATGCTGCCATCAAAGAGAAGTTTCCTGACATTCTCCAAGTGCTGGGCGAGCCACCCCCGTCAGCTCGACGCAACATGCATGAACTCCAAGGGTCTAAGGCGAGTGTTTACGGTGCTATGGCGTAAGTAGTGTTCCCATGTTTTTGGCGTTGCTACTATGGTTGGCGTGTCTTCCGTCTGATAACTGTAATCTGGTATTGATTATGACTATTCTTTTTGTGGTGGTTCTGACTGTGATCATCCTCCTTGCAGAATGCTGGTATTCACGCTACCAGTCCTTCTTGATGCTGAGGAAATGCTCTTCTTGCTGCACTGAAGAGCTACTTGGAGCAGGAACCGGGTTCTTTTGCGTTTGCGCTCTCAGTTGGCAGTAGCAGTCGTAACCGTGAATCCCCATGTCTTTATCCCTAAACCCCAAACTGTACGTCTTCTCTGAAAGAACGAGCCAACGCTTCTGAATGCAGGCGACCACAGAGGTTGCTGGATGCTGTATGTTGCTGCGACTCCTCTGCCTACCAAGAGCTTCTTTATGGACGGAATACTGCAGAGGAAAGATCAGCGAGAAGACGGGATGGTGGTGTTTGTGTGTACCCAGGGGCTCCAAGGTTTGGTCAGGAGTTATAGTATACTATCCAAAAAGGAACTACATAGGAGCCCTTGGCCCTAAACCCTAAACCCTAAACCCTAACCCCTAAACCCTAAGCCGCAGATTATTCCTTACGTTGCCTTGCCACGGCCACCTCAACGGAGCCCGACGCGTTTTGACAGCTCCAGCCAGGATGCGCCTCGGGAAAGCCCAGCCTTTGGAGGACGGCAAGGCACGGTTTAGGGTTTA